GCATCAAAAATTTCAATAAGTAATGAGAAATCAACAACATGCTAAAAAAATTTTGAAATATATGTAATGGATAAAGATTAGCATCAGCATATCAGCATTTAGTACATTAATGAGGAAACTTTCAAAAACTGTAAATGAAAACTAAGCAAGACCATAGATGGAGTTACTATTCTTGTGTCTTGAATCCAATCTAATAAAGTTTTTGTCCTCAAATCTACACTGAAACAAGATGACCATCTGGGGTTTTAAACTCTTTCATAATCCAATTGGAAAACAGACTACACTCCAGTTATTTCAAGCAGAGAAATGTTGATATAGTGATGGAAGAACTGAAAAGCCAAAAGAGCTGGGCTGGTGCCTTGGCTCACTTGGTTAATCCTCCACCTGCGGTGCCAGCATCCCATATGGGCGCCGGTTCTAGTCACGATTGTTCCTCTTCCCGTCCAGCTCTGCTGTAGCCTGGGAAAGCAGTGGAGGATGGCCCAATTGCTTGGGCCCCTGCACCCACATGGAAGACCAGGTAGAAGCTCCTGGCTCCTGGCTTCGGATGGGCACAGCTCTGGCCATAGTGGCCATTTAGGGAGTGAACCAACAGAAGGAAGACCTTTCTCTCTGTCTCACTGTCTATAAAATATACTTGTCAAATAAAAAAAAAAGCCAAATGAGCTAGTTATGCAATCTAGATAGTTGGCCATATCCAGGTGATATGGCCACCACAAGGGCTGGAAAGACAGACAAGATGATATTCCCAGAGCCCAGCCAGGACTGTCTGGGGAACTGTACCATCTGCAGGCTCCCTGATAGAAGCTTAGACTAGAAATATAGGCAAGACTATCTCAAGTCCCAAGATGGGCTATGCTCTCTCCTTATTGAAAGTGTTTTTCTGCTTTGAACTCTCTGCTTCTCACTAGTTCTTGCTAACTCCTAATCAATATAAAGGACTCTCTCCATTTCCATAATATATTTCTTGAGTCTGTGCCCTAAATAAGATCTTTCCATAACACTCTATGCTAATCCTCTATTTTAACACTCACCCAATCTGATTGCAATTATAATTTAACTGTCTGTCTTCCAGGGTTGTAAATCCAAAACAACACAAACCTGGGAACATGTTCCCTGCTGTATGTTTGGTACATAAATCAATTTGACATACAACGTGAAAATCAATAAATTATTTATTAAATGAATTCTCAAAAATAAATAGCTGATACCTCATCAGCTTTCCTTTGAAAACCCACCTCTTGCTTCAATTCATATGTATCAGTTAGAACTGACCCCACTACCTCCTACTCTCCATTATTAAAGGAATGCACATATTTTCAGATGTGCCCAATCAAACTATATCCCTCTGACATAGCATTTGATTTAGGAATGGTCAGATGACCTCATTCCAAATGGACTAAAATGGACTCAATCTTAGGACTTTCTCTAAAGTTGCTATTTAGAAGGCATTCTTCTTATATTATGGTTACTGAACTAAACCATGTTTGCCTGGAGCTGCTAGTAATATTTTGCTACCAAGATAGTAGAGTCTGCATCAAATAGAAATGAAAGCTTTGATGTGAAGCCAGAAAGGTGAGTGACTGAGTTTTGATGGTTGGCATCTTCTGATCCTTTGAATCCATTAATGCCTAAAGCCAGATATACACCTGAGGATTCTGGCTACACAATCCAAAAAATTCCTTTCTGACATGAGCTTGTTTTACTTCCACCACTTACAGTTGAAGAAAATTCACTTATTCCTGTATCAATATCCACATAACCAGTGGATGGGAGCTCTATATATCTATCTATATCTCTTCTCCTTTCTAATAAAATAGAATATTAGAAAAATCTTTATGTCTGACCCTCTTTTCACATATCTGAATTTAATCTTCCATCACATGTAGGCTTCATCTCATCTTCTGTATGATCTATGACCAAAAAATCTTATTTTGTGTATTATTTTGTGTATTACCATCTAAAGGAACTGCAGTAGACTCTAGTGATGCAAAAGAACCAAGGTATTTCAGACTCTGGCATACCAGATATCACTTCTAGAGCATAAGCAGCATCTGGGAAACCAGCTGAAAATGCTAATGCAATTCCTCCACTCCCACGACCTTCTGACAATGGTTCTGGAGGTGAGGCTCGAGAATCTGAATTTTTTTTCTTTTTTTTCTTTTTTTTAACTTTTATTTAATGAATATAAATTTCCAAAGTACGACTTAGGGATTACAATGGCTTCCCCCCCATACCGTCCCTCCCACCCACAACCCTCCCCTTTCCCACTCCCTCTCCCCTTCCATTCACATCAAGATTCATTTTTGATTATCTTAATATACAGAAGATCAGCTTAGTATACATTAAGTAAGGATTTCAACAGTTTGCTCCCACACAGAAACATAAAGTGAAAGATAATAGATGATTTTTTTTAAATGATGATGAAATCAGATCAGACCTATTGTCATGTTTAATCCCAGTGAGAGTCAAGTTGGGAATTGATAATTTCTTTTTTTTTTTTTACAGAAGATCAGTTTAGTATGCATTAAGTAAAGATTTCAACAGTTTGCACCCCCATGGAAACGCAAAGTGAAATATATTGTTTGAGTACTCGTTATAGAATTAAATCTCAATGCACAGCACATTAAGGACAGAGATCCTACATGAGGAGTAAGTGCACAGTGACTCCTGTTGTTGACTTTACCAATTGACACTCCTGTCTATGGCATCAGTAATCTCCCTATGCACCAGTCATGAGTTTCCAAGGCTATGGAAGCCCTCTGAGTTCTCCGACTCTTATCTTGTTTAGACAAGGTCATAGTCAAAGTGGAGGTTCTCTCCTCCCTTCAGAGAAAGAATCTGAATTTTTTAAATGAAAAATAAAATCTCAAAATGATTTTATCAAGGTCATGTTCAAACTATGCCTAATGAAACTTTAGAGGGGAAAAATAGAAACTACAGTACAGATTCCAGAGCAAACACTAGAACACTAGTGTGGTAGGAGTGCATTAGCAGATGGGAGCAGGAGGGCTGAAGTTAACCTTGGAATCACAAAAGCTCACTCGAGGAGGGCATGTTTAAGCTGAGCCTTCAACCATCCCTAGAAAGACACTCTGACAGAAAGATTGGGGGGGACAGAGACCAAAGAAGCTACCAAGAAAGAAGGATTAGAGAACATGTGAGGTGCTGAGAGATTACCAGAATAGGTGTAGGACAGAGCAAATGGCATTACTGGCTCCTAGCTTTGACTATTGTGGACATTTGGTAAGCAAACCAGCAGAAGGAAAATCTTGCTCTCTCTCACTCCATTTCTCTGTGTCTCTGTCTCCTCCCACCAGCCCCCATCACTCTGCCTTTCAAACTAGAAACAAAAGTAAATAAATAAGTCTTTAAAAAAAAAGAATGGGAAAATACATGAGAAAAGGCCTTTAAGCTGAGAAAACAGCATAGGCAAAACACCTAAAAAATGTCAAATGAATGAAGATGAATGGCCCTGGGAAGGAAGTATCCTGAAGAGCTTTGGGATTAGGATGACCAATAAAATGATGCACTTAAAAAATATTGAGGCCTTGACAATGGAATATAAGAAAACAAAACAATTCTGAGAAAGTTTGAAGGATATGATTTCAGGCAACTCCCCATTAAGAATGTCTTCACTCTGGGCCAGTGCTGTGGCTCACATAGTTAATCCTCTGCCTGCAGCGCTTGCATCCCATATGGGCATCAAGTTCTAGTCCCGGTTGCTCCTCTTCCAGTCCAGCTCTCTGCTGTGGCCTGGGAAGGCAGTGGAGGATGGACCAAGTGCTTGGGCCTCTGCACCCACATGGGAGACCAGGGAGGAAGCACCTGGCACCTGGCTTTGGATTGGCACAGTGCGCCGGCCATAGCGGCCATTTTGGGGGTGAACCAACTGAAGGAAGACCTTTCTCTCTCTCTCTCACACTGTTTAACTCTGCCTGTCAAATAAAAAACAAATAATGTCTTCACTCTGATCAAGGAAAAGTTAGTCTTTTAGACATCCCATGTATGACCATCTTGGGGGAATATTAACTGCTCTGGATTCTCTTGGCTAAGCAACTCTAGTATCCAGTGGGCAGTGAGAAAAAGAAGAGTTAGGTTGTTTGGCATAGAAATTAAGACAGCAGTTGTGATACCATATGATATATCAGAGTGTCCATATCAAGTCTCAATTCCACTCCCAATTCAAACTTTCTGTTTACTTGTACCCTGAAAGGAAGCAGGTAATGGTTCAAGTTGAGTTCCTGCCATCCATATGGGAGGTCTGGTTTGAAGACCCATCTCTCTTCATCCTACCCCATGCTCAGCCATTGTAGCAGATTGGAGCATGCTCTCTCTCTCTGTCTCTCTCTCCCTCTCTCACCTTACCTCCCTCCCTCCCTTGTTCCCTTTCTACTTCTCTAATACATAATTTATTTAAAAAAAAAAGGACAAAAACACAGAAGTCTTTGAGGATTGACAATAGAGTGGGGATGGAAGGAAATGAGAATTAGTAAATGTGACCTTATTCTGTCACCCTTTGTTATGCAAGCATTTAGTATCTACCTAATAATTGCCAGAATCAGTGTGGGCTCTCACATGTATTAACCGTTTAGTCCTAATAACAACTCAAATCACTTTTGCTTAATTCCATAGTCTCACATCCAAATAGCTATGCTCAGCTGTCTCACTTAGAATTATTCTCAGAATTTGTCATATGTTCTTGTGACCAACCTCAGGAGGATATTCATTCAAATCTGAGTTCTCTGAATAATATATGCAATCAAGCTTATCAATTCTGATTTTTAAAAATTAAGGTTGGCTTTTAATATATTAGTACCAACGTTCACTAGATAGCTTGTGATGAATTCTAAGGGCAATTACAAAAGTTGTTTGGAGCAATGACAGTATTATTAGAATAAATACATTACCTTTGACAAGCTTGAAGGAGACTCTACTCACTTAGAAATTACATTTGTTGAAAAAAAAAAAAAAAAAAAACCCTTAGCTCATAACCATACCTTGATGGTGTCCCTTTAAAGATGGAGACAGAAAGATGTAGGTGAAAGATCAGCTCCACAGTCCGTGAAGTACTCCCACATTGACTCATTCCAGCATGATTAATAATCTAAAAAAGAAAAGCAGTCATCAATCATCTTGATTCCATTTTTTACTCCCTTGTCAAAAGAAATTGGAGGGCTGGTACTCGCCACCGTGGTTACAATGCTTTTTGGGATGTCCATAACCCATATCAGCATGCCTTGGTTTGAGTCTTGGCTCTGCTCTCTATTCCAGCTTTCTGCTCATGTACATGCTGGCAGGCAGCAGGTGATGGCTCCAATATTTGCATCTCTGCCACCCAGATGGGGCATCCAGAGTCTCCAGCATCTGGCTTTGGCCTGGCCTAGCATTTCAGGAATTTGGGGAATGAACCAGTGTACCCAGCTTATGGATGATCTCTCACTCTTTCTCTCTCTGCTTTTCAAGAAACACATAAATCACATTTCTTAAAAAGTATTTTTCAACCTCACCTTATCTTTGTATGGATAGCCTCCATAAAAGGGTCGGAAAGCAACACATTTTGCCTCAAGAGTCCTCAACACACTCTTCAGGCTTTTTAGCAACATAGGAAAATCCCTGACTTCATGAAATAAGTAACTGTTGGCAATGCGGAAGCAGTGGCATTATAAAGGCATAGGTCAAATTAAATCACAGGCTTTTAGAACCCTCATGCCCAATTTGTTAATCTTCTGTTTTGTTCCAAAATCCTCTACAGTTTCTGACATCATTGATTATGGCTCCAAGGTGAAGTCTGGTCAAAGCCAAGTTAACCATATCCCAGTGTTACTGTGGGCCTATTTAAGGTTAGAAAGGATTAGACTATCTTCTGAGCTCTAAACCCTCCATTTAATTATAAAAATATTACTCATTCATTTTACTCTTACTAAGTATACTATTATTAATTATTAAACATTTCAGTGATGATAATTAGGCATCTAATACTGCTAATAAATTAAATATGCTTAAATAAATTTTAAATTTTTAAATTTCATGTTTATAATACTTCATATAAATTTATATTTTGAACATATTTTTAAAGAACCTGAACTAGTAATACAGTATATATTATATAATTATAACATGTATATATAACTTATTAATTATGTAAATATAGATGGTTCCTAACTTCTGATGGTTTGACTTGCAATTCTTTTTACCTTACAACAGTGTGAAAGCCACATACACTCACTAGAAACTGTACTTTGGACTCCGAACTTTCATCTTTCCTAAGGCTAACACATGTGATATGAGCCTCTCTTGCCATTCTGGGCAGTAATAGCAGTGGCCTAGTTTCTAGTCAGTCATGAGATCTCATGAACTGGTACCCTAACAGCATATTGTGTTACCAAATAAAGAAGTTTAATTGCTTGAGTGTACTAAAAACATTTTTTTCAAGATATTTTCTACTCATGATAGAGTTACTGGGACATAATCCCCCATAAGGTGAGGAGCATCTATATATAAGTACATACATAAAGAGGCGTATCATATATAAAATGGATGTGCATCTGAACATTTAATTGTAAAATGCATACACATTAATGTACACACATACAAATGGATGTTCATATGAACACACATTTAACTAAAAATACACACATTATAGATGCATGCTTAGACACTTCCTACTAAATGATAAAGCTCTTAGAAACTACTGGCCTAGAGGGCCTGCTTCTAAGAGAAAACAAAATTTAAGAGTGTGAGGGATTTCATTCCAATAATAGAAAATATTCTTCCAAAGCAAAACAGAGGAAAAAATACTGGAGAAAAGATAGGTATAATGAGAAAGGGTCAAATCTGACAATGTCTTATATGTAGAAATATGGAGGTATTATATGCAAATGATCACCTTGAGGGACTTGACAGCACTGTCCCAGAACCTGGGCAGTGGAGTCACTGGTCTTGCACACCTCAGCTATTGTGAGAAAAAAGTTACCACAGCCCTTCTCACTAGAGTCTGATGAGGAGTTCCCACCTACAAAACCTTCTATGGAACTGAGGAGCCAAGTGAGTCCAGAAACAACTCTGACCAAGTGAAGAAAAAAAGCCACCTTCCAGCATCCAAACAGCAACAAGTCCACAGGGCACAGTGAGGCCCTGAGCATTGGGCAGAGCAAAAGAGAAGCTTCTAACTTTGTACTTGTCGCAGGTGACATATAGCAGGACGAGTGTCAGATTCCTCAGAAGTGGGACAGTGATCTAAAATATCCACAATGCTTGAATAATTAAAAACAAATTTAGAAATTGTAAGAATGTGATCAGAAAATGTGTAACTTGCCTTCCATAATGAGATTCCCTGACACACCAAGATGCCAGCACAGTGGATAACCAAACCTCATTAAACTCATAGTCTAGCAGAGATGGTGCTCTATCCCACGATGGCCCTGAGAAGACTGTATCAAAACTTTTCTCTCCCTGCTCCAATACACACTCATTCTCAAAGGATGACCTCATTTTTCACTGCACTGTAAAGAAGGCAATGAAGGAAGAGTATATTTCTCTCACCAAAATTCTAAACCTGCAGTACCCATGCCCATTGTCCCCACCTTCACCATTCTTCCTTTGGAAAAAAATGGCTTCCTCTCTGACGAAAGGCAAACTTCTTGCACCTAAGATCTGGAATTTATCACCTCTTGCTTTCTCAAAGACTTAGCCTCTTCTTTCTCCCTTTATCTGCAACGTGCATTAACCTCAGTCAGGCCATTCTCATTGGACATAAACATACCTATCACTCATTAAAAAAAATCATCAGCTCTTACACTTCCTGCTGCTATCAGCTCAATTTCTCTGGTTACTCCATAGGAAATCTTGAGGCGTGGTCTATTGGTTTCTCTGCTTCCTTGCCTCCCACTCACCTTCAGCCTTATGCTGTCCATGGACATCATGTCTCCAAATCCAACAGGCACTTCTGTTTTGTTGTTTTGCCTGCTTCTTCAGCAGTACGTCACCCTGTTCACTATGGCTTGCTTCTTAGAACATTATTCTGTTTCTGCTGAGAATGTCTATTGGATTTCTTTCACTCAGAGTCCCTTCTCCTCTGGTAACCATACCTTAATTTTGTTCCTTTCTCCTTCTCTTGGTCATATCATTTCAAATAGAGATAATCCCCCTACTCCAGGCCTATTCAATAAATAATAGCACAGAATGTTTCTCTATGCAAGGCACTGTTCTAAACACTTTTAATTCACTTAATAGTTATAGTCGTATTTCAATGATTATGGATTAGAACCAGAGAATAATTGACTAGTCCAAGTTCACACAGCTAATAAATGATGGAGATGAGTTGAATTCTATGCTCTCAATCACTGTTTCTCACATTCCCTGATCATAATCAATTTAGGGATGAATATTAAGAAATAGATTCTCTTACAATTGAGTTCATAAGCAAGAATATTGTGTGACCATGTGAAAAGACTCAGCATAAAAATAAAGGAGACAGAGCTAAAAATAATAATAAATGATATCATTTGAGCACTTAGATCTAGCCATGCTTGTAGCCAATAATATTGATTTTTCAATTACACAGTTCAATAAATTCTCATTTTTGCTTAAGCTTACTAAGACTTTTTGAGGCATCACTTACCTACAGAATGCAGTGATTAATAGTGTCCACAACAGCACACTCCTCTGTTCTTTCTACCTCACAGGCTCATCTTTCTCAGTCTTCCTTGCCAGTTCCTCCTCTAGCTGGCCATTAAAGGATTGTATTCCTTGCTTATTGATGCACAAATATATCTGCTTTTCTATTGCTTCTTTAAGATTTATTTATTTGAAAAGCAGATTGATAGAAAGAGGGAAAGGAAGAGAGATGGTCCATTCGCTACTTCACTCCCCATATGCCTGCATCAGCCAAATTTAGGCCAGGCTAAAGCCAGGAGCTGAGAACTCCATCCTGGTCTCCTAAATGGGTGTCAGGTGTCCAAGCACTTAGGCCATCTTCTGCTGCCTTCCCAGGTGCATTAGCGGGAAGCTGGACAAGAAGCAAAGTAGTTAGGACTCAAACCAGTGCCAGTTATGGAATGCTGGTATCACAAATGGGTATTTAATCTGCTTTGTCACAAAGTAGCCCCTCTCCTTTGCTGTTTCAATTCCCTCCCTAAATAAGTTAATATAGCCCTGTATTTTTTTATTTTATTTTTCATCTTATTTGAATGGCAGAAAGAGATCACTCCCCAAATGCTCACAACAGCTTGGACTGGCCCAAACCAAAGCCAGAAACCTGGAACTCCCTCCAGGTCTTCAACATGAGCGGTGGGACCAAAGTACTTAAGTCATCATCTTTCATCTCTCAGGATGTGCACCAGTAAGAAACTGAACCAGAAATGGAAAAACTGAGGCTCCAACCAAGTACTCAGACATGGCATACAGCTGTTCCAAGTAGCAACTTATCCTCTTCACCAAACACCTGCCCTCAAACGCCACAATATTAAAGGTTAAGTACACATTGGTGGTCCTTAAATACATTTATCAAATTCAGATGTCTCCAAACTACCATCTACCAACTGCCTGTTTAACACCTTCAGCTGCACATGTCATAGCATCACATAATACCGAATATTTCCCATTTTAAACTCTTCCTACTCCAGTCTTCCTTATCTCAGGAAATGTCTTTCCCAAGAGCCTGGTTGCTCCAACCAAACATCTTCAAATCATGGGTTCTATTTTGTGTATTAAAATATCAAACCCTTTCATTGATGTCCATGCTCATTGCTACCACCCTCATCTACTCTCACCCCTTTCTAATTCATCCAGTACATGGAAGTTATACGGGTCTTTTAAAAATGTAAATCAAATCATCTCCTTCCATTATCTAAAATTCTTTTTTTAAAAGATTTTTTTAATTTATTTGACAGGTAGAGTTATAAACAGTGAGAGAGAGACAGAGAAAGGTCTTCCATCCGATGGTTCACCCCCAAAATGGCCGCAACGTCCAGAGCTATGCCAATCTGAAGCCAGGAGCCAGGTGCCTCTTCCTGGTCTCCCATGCGGGTACAAGGTCCAAGCACTTAGGCCATCCTCCACTGCCCTCCCGGGGCCACAGCAGAGAGCTGGATGGGAAGAGGAGCA